AAGACTGGCCTACTTTAAAGAGAAGAAAGGTGTTAGCAGTTCCCTTTGCATACTTGAAGTATGGGGAAAACACATTACATTGCTTTACAATACAACAGAATTCATTGTTTTTTAGGGACTCAGGGTCAGGTTCCTTCAGGAACTCTGTTATCTGCTATTCCCACATATCCTTTAGTGTGGTAGCTACTGTACAGGTGGTGGCCTGTCGGACAGGTAAAGACCTAAGTGAGGAGAGGCAATGCACCTTTGGCTGCATCCCAGGGAGCTCAGACAGACAGCAACACCCCCACCCCCACCCCATTACCTGCTCTGCAGAGCCCTTGGCCTCCTCTTCAGCATTCTTCAGGGACAGCTTTGTATGGAGAGTCCCTGTGGGTGCCCACAGTACGGTGTGGGCTATCGACATCTCTTCTGCTGCCACAGAATAGGGATGTCTTTTCTACAGTGAGTGAGCGGTCCCACCTAGGTCACGTGTGGGAGCAAGGGGGAAGACAGACTGCAAAAAACACCAGCTGCTCTTTCTGGCTTTTCCAAAAACACAGGCATTAGGGACCCAGATTTTTATCAGTCTGGTTCATTATGAAGGAGACGGAGGGAGGGAGGGAGGGAGGGAGGAGCAGGCTGTGTGTGTGGAGGGAGGAAAGAGCTGCTGGGGTCTGGGGTCCAGTGACAATAAAGATGACAGGAACAAAATTAAGACGCTGTGTGCCAAGTACTGTGCTAATTATCCCAGATAACCTCTCTACTGCTACTGTCCTTCTCATCTCCAGAATTAGAACACAAAAACCACACTGTGTATCTGTGTGTGTGTGTGTGTGTGTGTGTGTGTGTGTGTGTGTGTGTGTGTATCTGAGGATCCAACCCAGGACCTTCACATGCTAGGCAAGTTTTCCACTGCTGGGCTACCCCTGCACCCCAACATCGTGTTTTCCTTCCATGCTTCCTTTCTTTCCTCTTTTGTTTAGTGGTCTAGACTCTGAATCTAGGAGCTCACCACAAGATAGGCAAGCTGTTAATCACTCAGCTATATCCCCGACCCTCTTTTTTAGGTTAAAAAAAAAAAAAAGGCAAAGAAAAGAAAAGAAAAATTGAGACAAGGTTTCCTTAAAATGTCCTGGTTGGTCTTGAACTTTCTATCCTCCTACCCTGGCTTTGGGAGGTAGGAGTTGGGCTTCCAGGCCCTGCCCCAATGATACATTTTTACATGCACAAACTGGGATATAAATACATTGAATGGGATCAGGCAGGGTATACAGTAAAGGAATAATAGTTACCTAAGGAGTGCTGGCCAAAAGCGGCAGCTCTAGTTTTTATTACATTGCATAATACCTTTTACATTGGAAATGTGTAACTATGTGTGAGCAATTAAAAAACAAACAAACAAAACCCACAAAACTGGGCGGTGCTAACGCCTGTGCACAAGGATCCGAGAACTAACCAGGCTGGATGGAGTCTGGTCGCAGACTGCAGATCCCAGGTCTTACTTAGGCTTCACAGCCTTGCAGGATCCGCAGAGTCTGCCTCCTGCTGGTGCAGGACGGCCAGCTAACTCCCAAGAGCCACCGGCCACAAGCTGCCCCGCCCTGTGAGTTTCCTGGGGAGCAGGGCCAGCACGGCGTCTCGGCCTTTGGGGAGCCCAAGGACGAGTGGCCAACCCTGCAGCCCGCCCACTGTCGCCAAGAGGATTCCTGGCCAATCAGACCCTGGTGATGCCATACTCCAGGGATGAGAGTGGCAGGAAATCAAGGTCAAGGCCCCGGACACAATGAAGCCATTGTCGGTCCCCAGTCAGTTGACTTTCAAGCAGCGGTTCCCGATGCACCACCCTCGCTCCTTCTCTCCACCTCTGCCCCTGCCGGGAAGTCACCCAAACCTCCTGCGGGTTCATTAGCCTCTGCGCAAGGAGAGCGGCGCCCTGGATCTCCTCTACCCCAGGCGGCGGGGTCCAGCCGCCCTATGCAGTGCCCGCTCCAACCACCAGGTGGCGACAAAACACCACATTCTGGGTTGGGGAGGGCGGCAAGGAGCCAGCTGCTCAAAGGCTTCAGGGTGTGGAGGACCCTGCCCTTCCTGTTTTATCCCAGAGCAACCCCCACCCCCAGAAAAAAATCACGTTTGCCTTCTGTCGCCCTTTACTCTGAAGTCACAGTGATCTCTAGTCTCAGCTCTCTACTTGAGCAAATGGCAAAATGGCCGTGGGCTGCAGCATCCCCCACCCCCTCCAGGAGAGGAAACCGCGGGAAAGCCCCGGTTGTCTGCGGCCCCGGCAGGAGGTCCTGACTGCTTCTCCGGTCCAGACTAACCAACTGACTGATTAGCCTGTTGCATGAACGTATAAATGTTATCTCTGGCCACTCACCCGTCTAAACCCTGTCTCTGTTGTTCTCAATGTCTGCTCTCGTTTCCCTTCACATTATGGTTGTTTGCAATGGGACCTACGTTTGCCTAATTCCTACCACTACAGGTAGTTTAAGAACGGGCTCTGGGGGTGCTTTTTGCTCCAGTGTCCAGTGTACTGTAGGCATTCTGTAAATATCTGTCAACTTAATCAGTTAAGATGCCCTATGGGGCAGTGAGGGTGGAGGTTGCCTTCAGGGTCAGGTGCTTGAGTACACGTAGCCTACCGGATAGCACCTCCAGACCATCATCACCTTAGACTGCATGTCCCAGAGGCACAAAGATTTCGGATTAAGATATGCCAGCCCCGAGTTTCACCTCCACGCACTCACTGGATGTGTGCTAGAGATTTTTGCCGATAGGACCTTTCTTAGATTCAGCCTCCTCGGGTGTGAAATGGACACAGAAATGCCATTTCCAAGGGCCATTGTGAGGTGCGGAAAGCGCAAGGCTTGGGACCTAAGGACTTACAGACGCCAGTCTTTGTCCCTGGGGCTGCAACCTCGGAGCTCAAGGGCCGTGGGGGTGAGGAGTGGGGTCTGCGGGGAGCAGGCTGGTTTGCTTTGGTTTCTGGTGTGAGCTGGTCCAGGAAGTCCGGATGGTGACAGGTCCACAGGTCTTGCCCTCTGCTTGAGGACAGCTCTGTTTCTGCTGTAATCACTGCTGGGGCGGGGTGGGGGTGGGGTGCTTCCTGCGGCCTCTCCGCTTCCTTAGGACACGGGGCCTGGACCAGCCTCCATTTCCTTCACTCATTTAACATTCGGGTGGCATGTGATGTGCCGTGCCTTGGAGAGCATGGTGAGAAGGGCCACTGCAAACCTGCTCACAAAAATCATACAGCACGGGGGTAGGGTGACGATGCAAGCCGGAAAGGAACAGTAGTTTTAACTGCATTAGGGGGCAGAGTCTTGTCCGGGACATTCCCCGAGGGAGTGAGACAGAGCTGCCAGAGGAAGAAGGGCTATCCAAGAAAAGTCCTTCCTGGGAACCACTATGACAACCCAGTGGAACTCGGCTTTCCTGGGCCTGGTGAGTGGTCATATGGGAGGAGGCAAAAAGCAAACACTCCCGAGGATGCAGGCTGCCAGGAACGCACTGCCCTTGCTGGGAGCCCCGCACACACCCACAGGATGTTAGGCCCCAGCTGGGCCCTGGGGAAGGAGTAAGAACTTTGAGGTGGCCAGGAAAAGCCTGTCACAGGTTCAAAAGGCAGGGTGGGGGGCTGAGCTCGGCACTTCTGGTTGTCGCTGCAGGGGTAGGGAGTCACCCAGTTGAGGGTATCCATCAGCACCAGCCAGAAGCACATAGGAGCAGCTGACAACACAGTGAATCAGAGTCAGGGGTACAGGGTAAGTATCCAGCTCTGCAGCTTGAGACCTAATCCAAGCCTGGGTCTCCTTGTTCATAGCACCGATCTCGGGTGTGTGTGTGTGTGTGTGTGTGTGTGTGTGTGTGTGTGTGTGTGTGTGTGTGTGTGTAGATGCACACCCAAATGTGAGTGTGCGTGGAGGCCAAGGGTTGATTCTGCCTGTCTTCCTCAACTACTCTCCATCTTATTTATTTTCTTTCTTTTCTTTTGGAAACAGGGTTTCCCTGGCTGTCCTGGAACTTGCTCTGTAGACCAGGCTGGCCTTGAACTCAGAGATCTGCCTGCCTCTGCCTCTTGAGTGCTGATATTAAAGGCATGTGCCACTGCCACCTGGCTCCGTTTTATTTCTTAAATCAAGGTCTCTCAGAGATATGGAGTTCACTAATTCTGCTAAATTGGCTGGCCAGCAGCCCCAGGGATCCTCACGTCTCTGCTTTCTTTGGATTACAGATGCTTGGACTACAGGCATGTGCTGCCACACCTGGATTCCTTTGTGTGTGTGTGCTGGACACTGAATTCAGTCCCCCATGCCTGCATGTCAAGCACTTTACTGACTTGGGCATCTCCCTGGCCCACAGAATAGTTTTGAAGGTTTAGTGAAATAGCCTGGTATATGGGGGACACTTGATAACAGTATTAGACAGTTTTTAGTGAGTGCTTTGAAAAACTTGTGTGTGATTATGTGCACATGAGTGCAGGTGCTCTTGCAGGTCCAGGGCATCAGGTCCCCCTGGAACTGGAGTTGTATCCTAGGTGGTTGTGAGTTGTCTGGTGTGAGTCCCCTGCAGGAGCAGTGATCACTCTTTCCCCTCCTCCTCCTCCTCCTCCTCCTCGGTGTCCCGTCCTTCCAGCTCCATCATCCACACTTTTGCCACCGTGTTCTACCAGTTCGGAGACCAGGAACCGGAGACTCCGAAAGGCCTAGAGTCCCACAACTAAAAGCAGAGGCATTGAGATTTGAACTCAAGTTCCTCTGGCCCTAAAATCTGGACTCCTTTTGGGAGGTGAGGGCAGATCAGCGGTTGCCTGGGAAGAAACTGAGTCCCATTAAGTCATATGTTTTTGTGGATGCCACCGATGGGTACAGATCTAGAGAAGGGTGGACCATTCCATTCCTTTTTTCTCAAGCAAGTCTTCCTATGGCCCCAAGAGTTCCAGAAACAACAGAGGAAATCGCCAGGCCAGGTGGGCACCGAGTCCCAGGGCTGAAGCTGTCCTGGGGCACCCCAGACCCCTGAGCATGCCTCTTCGCCAGCTTGTGCTGCAAATCGCTACACTGTAACGCCAGGCCAGGCGTTTGTGGGACTCTCTCCCTCATTTGGTCTGGGGCCCTTCCTCCCCACTTCTGAATGCAGTCATCCCAACTAACAAAAGCAACTATGGCTACTCTGCCACGCCCACGTGTCCTGTGATGCTGGCCAGGCTGTGCCCAGTCCCAGCGCCAAGTTGAGCTCAGCCTCTTCTCATGTGCCAGGGCAAGCTGGCTTGCTTCCTACCCACCCCTCATGAAAACCTAAGTGGCTCTCATTTTTGAGACACTAGAATTAAACAGCCCTGGGGAGAGAATGAGGGTCTGGGAAGAGCAGCCTCTTATGCAGCCACTGTGTTCTCTCTCTAGCTCTGGACACTCCTAGGCTGGTGAAGGATGGGTGTTTTGCAATGCCAGAATGATGCCTGGGAAGCTTTGGTTTGGGGGGGGGGCAGGGCACGCGATGCTGGTCCCCTGGGAGAAGAGCTTGAGTGGCCATGGAAGTTCTGGGGTCAGGGAGGCCGAGTATGAATCCAGCTTCTGTCACCTATGAGGTGTATGGCCTTGGGGAATCCCTTTACTTCCCTGAGCCTTGGGGTTACCCCATCTGTAAAGCAGGACTAAAACTCTCACGAGGGTTGTGCGGGATTAAAAAAGGTAATGGATGAAAAACTGGAGAGCACAGCCGGAACACAGCAAGTATTAGTAAATGATATCCTAGGATAATGTCACTGAAGCGGCGGCAGCGGCTGTGGTTGCTGTTGCTGCTGCTGCTGCTGCTGCTGCTGCTGCTGCTGCTGCTGCTGCTGCTGCTGGAGAAGGCTCTGAGATGTGTTTTTGTGGTGGGGGGCGGTGGGATGTCCTGATCTAGACTTCTAGCTGACAGCTCACCTTTGGGCATCATACCGGAAGCTTAGAAATCTTCGGAGTCACTTTCCTAGTTCCTCCTATAGCCCTCCAGAAAGCAAGGTGTCCTGGCTGGCCCGAGAAGTGGTATGGGCACTTTACCTTTGTCTCCACCGATGCCAGAGAGCCCCGCTTTCCTGTACCAGGGAAAGGCAGCTCTGGGGTAGGATGAGGATGACCGTGGAGGCTCCCTCCCGAATACAAGAAAGGGGCCATCTCTGTGGTTTAATTTGTCTGTCCAGCTGGCCCTCTGACCCCGCCTTTCGGGGCGTGGGCTGTTGCTCCCTAGTCGGGACCTGAGTCCTTCTCCCCTCCTGAGGAGGAGAGCAGCGGGACTGGACCTGGAGCAGGCCTGGGCTGCAGCACCTTTCCAGAAACAGCGGCTAAAGCAGGGCCTCCCGGAGCCGTGGTGACTCCGAAGTCCCGTTCGGTTCCGGACAGGATCTTTGTGTTCCTCCCCGACTTGGGGTCTTTGGCTCTATGCCCACCCACCCCTCCAGTTCTATCCAGTTCCCCTGAACCTGGAGAGAGGGGAAAGCCCTGGGCCCCCGGCTGTTGGAGGGTTTCCGAAGTCCCCACTGCGGTCGATCCATCGGCTGAGTTGCCCCGGGCGAACTCGCGAACTCGCAGCGGGCGGGCGGGCGCCAGGTCCGAAGGCTCGGGCCTCTGGAGCTGCCGATCAGAACGGGCGATTAGGCTGGAATGTTCCCGAGCTGGTTCGCAATGAGATCCGGGAGACCACGGGAGGTTCCGGCTGCCCCTGCCTCCTCAGGCTTGGAAACCCACAGGCCCTGTCCCTGGGCCTTGATTTCTTACCTGCTCATCTCTCTTCTTGTCTGTCTATGCCACCGACCCCACTTCGGCAGCCCCCAAAGGCTCGCGTACAAAGGGGCTCTTCTGCGGGGGGCGGGGAGGACACCCTCACCTACCACCCACGTCCCTCTGGTCCCGCTTGGCAGCTCCGAGGATCTCTTTCCCTCTCCCTCCCTCCTTCAAATGGCCGGGCTCTTGCCGGCATCTTTCACAAGTACCTGGGGCTTTCTTTTACTTCAAGTGGCCGTCATTATGCTGTCTCCAGAATACTTGTCTTGTCAAGGATCTGTTTCATCTCACAACTGCTATTGGCCAAGGATGGGGTGGGTCTCATCTTTGGTCCTAGTGTGTAAGACTTCCAAGTGGTAGGTGCCCAAAGAGGTCCACGCAGTGAGTGGTGGCCAAACCTGGTAACTTTAGGAGCACACAGTTGAGCTGTGGATGTTGAGGGGAGGGGGAGGCACAGGGGAGACTCATTTCCCACACCTAACGTCATCCCTTCTGAAAGATATGAAGGCGAGGCCTCTTTCCCCCTCCATTCTCCTCATCCCTTTGTCTCAAGATGTAGGGTGACTCTAAGGAGCAAGAGTGTCCCCTCCCGCTTTCCCTTCCCTTTCCACGTTCACAGAGGAAATGGGGGCCTCTGGAGAGGGGAGGGCAGCTCTGAGGGGTTCCAGTTGCAGCAGCTCTGAACTCTCCATCTCCATGTCCAACCCCCCCCCTCTTTGGGGCCACTCTTTGTGGTGCTGTGGGGGTGCCCTCTAACAAGTGGCTGTGGTATACAGGGGGAGTTACTGGGACTGGGGAGTCACCGTATGGCTGTGCTGACCTCCAGATTTAGAGGACGCCTCTGGTTTTGTGGATCCTCAGCCATCTTACTCTGCCTACCTGCTGGGTGCCAGGGGAGTTGGGGGGGTCACTAATTAGGCCCCAGGTGGGGGTGGCATCAGGTAGCCCAGGTGGCTGGGGAGTCAACCACCAAAACCATGGAATCTGAGAGTCATCACTGCTCTGCCCAACACCTGAAGGGCCCAGGGAGACCATCACTGTGGAGACAGGGGGTGTGGGGACGGCAGAAGATGGCCACTGCACTCACTGCTGCTCTCCAGTGCCCCTCCCATGCCCAGGGGCCTGGAGGTAGGAGGGCAGAGGGCTGGAAAGCATGAACTCCAGAAGCAGATAAACCGTGTAAACTGGAGCAAGAGACTTCATTTCTTTGAGCCTCATTTCCTTCTTTTGGGTTTTAGTTTTTAAAAAATTTTTTGAGACAGGGTTTCTCTGAATAGCCCTAGCTGTCCTGGAACTTGCTTTGTAGACCAGGTTGGCCTTGAATTCAGGGATCCACCTGCCTCTGCCTCCGGAGTGCTGGGATTAAAGGCGTGTGCCACCACCACCAGACTGAGCCTTATTTCCTAAGCTATGAATGTAACAACAGTAGACATCTCTCAGAGGCCTGTAAGGGTTAAATAAATAAGATTAAACAACTAATTAATTTTAAAGGATTAAACAAGAAGACTTATGCAATTAGCTCTGAGTATACACATTAAGTGAACAACTAATGGTAATATACTCTTTTAATCCATTTTTTTGTTGTGTTCCCAGCATCTACCCAGGATTCCTCAGTGCTGTCTACACTAACAGTGAGTCTGTTTAACATCCACAATACCTTACAGAGAAGCTCAATGTGCTTAAATAAGGGTAGCACCAGGACCACTGGGGGCCAAGGCAGGAGCCATTCCTGAAGGAGGGATGCCTGGGCTGTAATGAGAAAAGGAAACAGAGTGAGTCTCAGGCTGTCTCATCAAGGCCAGGCTGCTCCTGCACAGCCACTGTATTGTTATGGGTACTTGTATGTCTGCAGAGGCAGGACACCCTGGAGCTGTCTCCTAGACAGAATAAGAGACTATACACAAAGACTTAGGGCACTTGGCGATTCTGGCCACACTGCTGCTTCTTAAGGTCTGAGGCCTACATCAAGTTCCTAGTACTATACAGAACACCTTCCCATCCTCTAGCACACCATGGTGAGGAGCTCGCCCTTGCCCTTCTGAGGACTCTTGCATGCCTGCTCAGGGGGAGCAGAGGAATTCTCAGCTTTCTCCAAGCCAGTCTGTGGAGGGCTGGGCTATTGAGGGCTGCCTCTTGCACCTTGGTATTAGTGCTTAACACAGAGGCCTCCTGGCTGCCTCAGCAGTGCGCTCCTTACCTGGGAGCAGGGCAAACCCATGCCACCAAGACCCAGGCCAGACTGTGGAGTAGGAGAGAAACACAAGCCAGGCAGATCCTGGGATGG